TTAATAAATCAGTGTTCTAACACTAAAATATATATTATATAGTATTATGATATTATCATTGTTATGCAATTGTAATATACTATAAAATAATACATATTTAATTAATAAACTATCACTCAAATACAATTCTGTAAAATTAATTACACACAGATGTATGGTCAGAATCTGACTTTTTATTCAAATAATTTAGTGTTAGAAGATAAAAACTTAAAATATATTTTTATTCATAGTTAATAATCTGACTGACGTTTATATACAATTCTGTAAAATTAATAACTACGTACGGTCAGTTATCTAACTTTTTATTCAAATAATTTTAATATTTTTATAAATAAAACAACTTAAAATAAAAGAGAATAAATAAAAGAAGATAAAAAAATAAGCAGACTTACCTCTGCGGCTCTGCAAGATCGGAAGCAGACTTACGCGTGATAGAAGGCAGAAGCGCAAGATCGGAAGCAGAGAAAGTCGGAAGGGGCAGAGTTACGCAGATAGGCAGATATATCCGAAGACCAAATTACCAAAAGCAGAAGTAAGGAAGAAGACTAGAGAGACTTGGAGGTTTGGAGTTTGATGGAGTGAGGGAAGCGCACGCCAAGGAACGGTAATCGCCAGAATCCATGAGGCGGCTAAGGCGCTCGCCTCTCAGAAGCGAGAAAGGCGCAAATAAGCGAGAGAAGCGCACGCCTCGTAAACCCTAAGCCGCCTGGCTATGTAAAAGGCGATGACTTCTTCACCTTTATGCGCCTCGCGCCTTTGTGCGCCTCAGGCGCGCTTTTTAAAACTAAGAATTCATGCCATAAACATCAAGGAAGGAGCAAACATTCCCAACTTAAGGCCTTACGCCCTTACGGGTATTCTTTTGATCAGAAGAATGAGAGAGAGAAAATTATTGTTGAAATGCTGAATTCTGGAATAATTAAACATAGCAAGTCCCTTTAGCAGCCCAGTTTTATTGGCTAAAAAGAAGGATGGTGGTTGGAGGTTTTGTGGGGATTATAGGGCCCAAAAAAAAGTAATTGTACCTGACAAATTCCTCATTCCAGTTATAGAAGAGCTTCTTGATGACTTAGGAGGGGCAAGAATCTTCTCAAAACTGGATTTAAAATCAGGCTATCATCAGATTAGGATGAAAGCTAGTGATACTCATAAGACTGCCTTCAGGACCCATGAAGGGCATTATGAGTATCTAGTCATGCCATTTGGGCTGACTAATGCCCCCTCAACATTTCAGGCCCTAATGAATGAGGTTGAGACCTTTCTTAAGGAAATTTGCCTTGGTGTTCTTTGATGACATACTAGTATACAGTAAACTAGAGAGGAACATAAAGAACACCCGAGGAAGGTAAGGCCTTGAGGAAGAATGGCTTAGTGGCTAACCAGAAGAAGTGCTCTTTTGGTCAAGAGCAATTGAATTATGTAGGCCATATCATTTCTGAAAAAAGGTGGCAGCTGACCCTAGCAAAATTGAAGCAATGAAGAATTGGGCTGTACCCAAAGACCTAAAGGGATTGAGAGGTTTTCTGGGCTTAACTGGGTTCTACAGGAGATTTGTGAAGGGTTACAGCAGGATTGCTGCACCACTAACACTCCTATTGAAGAAGGATGGATTTAAATGGAATGGCCAATAAAGCTTTTGAAGATCTGAAAGCTACTATGATTTCTTTACTAGTACTAAGGGTCCCAAATTTCAACAAATTATTTGTGGTAGAAACTGATGCCTCAAGGAAAGGTTTGGGGTTGTTTTGATGCAAGAAGGTGGACCAATTGCTTACATGAGCAAAAAATTATCTCCTAAACATCTAACCAAATCAGTTTATGAGAAGGAACCGATGGCCATGGTGTTTGCCATCCAAAAATGGAGGCCATACTTACTGGGAAGGAGTTTTGAGGTCCATACTGACCAAAGAAGTCTGAAAGCCTGAAATATTTGACTGAACAGAAAATAATGGGGGAGGATCAACAGAAGTGGATAGCAAAGCTTATGGCTTACAATTTCATCATTAAATATAAACCAGGTTGTGAAAACAAAGCCGTTGATGCTCTTTCAAGAAAGTCAACTTTCTCAGCTTTATCCATAGTTACTTGCCAAGAATGGGAGGGTTTGGAAGAAGAGTTGCAGAAAGATACTAAATGTGGGGACATCATACAGAAGGTACTCAGTCAGCCAGACCAACATATGGATTACAAATTGAAAGGAGGGTTATTATACTACAAAGGGAAGCTGGTACTTCAGAACAATGAAAAAGATATCAAGCCTATTTTTTTGGGCTGGAATGAGATCTGATATTAAAGATTACATACAAAGTTGTGAAGTTTGCCAGAGAAATAAATATCAGGTCCTAAAACGTACAGGTTTGCTACAACCTTTGCCCATACCTAACCAATATGGACTGATATCAGTATGGATTTTATAGGTGGTTTACCTAAATCTCATGGAAAAGATACCATATTGGTGATTGTGGATAGGTTAACTAAGTTTTCACATTTTCTACCTCTATCACATCCTTTTAATGCTAAGGAAGTTGCTGAGATATTTGTACAGGAGGTTGTCAGAATTCATGGATTCCCTAAGTCAATTGTCAGTGACAGGGATAGTATTTTCCTTAACACTTTTTGGTCAGAGTTAGTTTAAATTGGCAGGCACGCAGCTGAAATACAGTACTGTCTACACCACCCCCAGAGTGATGGGCAGACATAAGTGGTAAACCGATGTTTGGAAACCTATTTGAGGTGTGTGACTGACAGAAAACCTAAACAATGGGTGAAATGGCAACCATGGGCTGAATTTTGGTATAACACAAATTATCACATTTCCCTAAAGAATACCCCATACCAAGCTTTATTTGGACAAGAACCACCTGCCATAATCAGAGGGGATGTAAGCTTAACTGCAGTAGCTGAAGTATCTAGACTAACAGCTAAAAGGAATGAGATATTGAAGGAGTTAAAGGAAAATATGGCTAAGGCTCAAAATTTAATGAAACGACAAGCTAAAAAACATAGAAGGAGAGTGGAGTTGGCAGTGGGAGACAAAGTATTCCTGAAGATACAGCCTTATAAAATGAAGAGCTTGGCCAAAAGGATCAATCAGAAACTCAGTCCCAGATTCTATGGACCATATGAAATCCTAGAGAAATTGAACCCTGTGGCTTTTAAGCTCAAATTACCAGAAGACAAGGTTTGAAATTGCGTATTGCGTAGTCGTGGCGTTTTTTGAATATTGCATATTGCGTAAGCCTCATTGCGCAATGAGGCGTATGCCTGAGGCGTAATATATATATATATATATATATATATATATATATATATACACACACACACACACACACATATATATATATAATATAAACATAATAAAAAATAAACATATTTGTCAAAAGTCGTCAAATGTTATATTAAAACAAATCATAAGAGGCCGCAGTCCTAGCAAAGTAATATGTTCAAACTTCAAAGTACCATAGAATACCAAAGCTTTCTGAATCGTTTATAAAAAAATCTAAGATATGAGAATTTAAGATTGATCGACTGAAAAAGTCCAATCAATAACTAGTGATTTGAAATAGGGATCATAACATCAATTATAAAATTTTAAAAGTGGGCCGAGTGGACCCAAATAATACCCTTACACCCTGATGTTCTCCTATTGCGTACGCCTCAGAGCGCCTTATTGCGTATGCAATATTGCGTACGCCTCAGTGCAATATTGCGTACGCCACACTCCCAACGCCATATGCAATGCCTTTTACGCCATAGTCTAGGAATTAGTTGAGGCGCGCCATGAGGCGCAATTGCATTGCGCAATTACAAACAATGCCAGAAGATAGTAGAATACATCCTGTATTCCACATATCTTTACTAAAAAGGTGCTGAAACCTACTGTTCATTATCAAGACATTCCAAAGTGTCTCACAGATGAATGTGAACAAGTGAAACCAGAAGGAGTCAGAAAAGTCAGAATTGATCAAGAAGGAAAGAAGGAAATCCTAGTGCATTGGAAGGATCTTCCTGATTTTGAAGATTCATGGGAGGAGGAACAAGTGATCCAAGATCAATTCCCAGATTTCCAACTTGAGGGCAAGTTGGATTTTCAGAGGGGGAGTATTGATAGGGACACGAGTATTTCTAACAAGGAGGATAGATATTATGGCCAAGTACATTCAAGAAGAAATAAATAGACTAGTTGTTATTAGTTACTTTCTGTTAATTGCTTGTAACTACTTTCGGTTAGTCTATGAGGCTATAAATAGAATAGAAGGCAGGAAACAGTTGGTCTGGGGACTGGGAAGATTAGAGAGTTGTTTTCTCTTCTTTGGGACTCGGTGTACTGGTTTACCTTCATCAATAAAGTGCTGATTTGTTTCTTGAGCTAAATTCTTGTTGTTTAGCTAGATTTCCTATTGAATTGCTATTCTATACCTGTGCAATCTCTACCATATCATTCCAATTCCATTGACATGAGACCAATTAGGTAAAAGTCTGAACCAAACAAGTAACAACTAACAACTAACAAGTAGTCAACAACTCAACACTATGCAAATCACAAATATAGCATTGAAATGCCAGATTCCAACTAATGTGTACACATTCACAACTAGACTTATTGAAGTGCAAAACAGAGTATAAAATAGTGTATGAATAAAACATCACTTCAGTAAACAATAATATAATTTTGAAATAAAAAAATAAAACAAACAACAACATTTAAGCCTTATTCGCAAGAGATTTGGGTAGGCTAAGATGAACTGAAACATGATATCTGAGTTAAAAACAATAAATAGAGAAAAAGAGAGACAAACAAAATCAAACCAATCATCCATAAATACTCTCCCTCCACTTCGCCCTCTTCAAAGTCATACTTTCATATAACCCAAGAAATACCATATCATTTTTGACCACTCTAATCCACGTTTGTCTAGGTCGTCCCCTCCCTCTCCTCCCTGCCTCCTTTCCCTCGCCATTCAATTAGTCTTGGTTTTTTACAGGTTATTGAGCAGTACCTGTTGAACGTCCGGCGGCCATGCATATTTGCCAATGAGGTTCAAACACAGGGAATGCAGCAAGCCAACCTGCCGTGGATTTTTGCTTTGACCCCAAGTTTCCCCATCCATAAATGGGGCGGGTGCTGTACTCCCAACGCGCAGTCTTCACGGTTTCTACATAATCGGTCCTGCCAAGCTAGGGCGTGTCAAATAATCAGATGAATGCCATTTATCAAAAACTATGTAAATGAAACCTCCAAATACTTATCATACACCTACAAAGAATGGTTAGTTTACACTGTACACAACATCAGGTCTTCGGTATAGGAGACAAAAGATGTTTACAGAAAGTAGAAACAATTGCACCAGTACAAGGTAATTTTTGGCATTTCATAAGCTAGCCATTAGCTGCTTTTACAACTGGTTTTGAAATCAGTTTAATTTGGTTGATGGAACTTTTCAAATATTCTTGTGCTTATGTAATTAGCTAGCTTTTTTGCATAAAGTTCCACATTTAACCTCACTTTATTTTAACATAATCTTAAACATATCATTTTATAACATTTTATGTTTCTTAGCTAACCTATTACCTGATTTTACCTTTACCAAAAAATAAGTGTCATCAACTAGCTTATGAACTACAGAGTATAAGTAAATACTCCCTCCGCTATTTGATTTAACTCCCTCCATTATTTGTTAGTTAATCATTTAGGATTTTCATGGAGATTAAGAGGGACATAGTAGGGGTAGTAAATAGTGTATACACGGGAGAGAGTAGATGAGAAAGTAGGAAAGAAGATGAAAAGTAGAAAAAGTATGAAAGAAGATGAAAAGTAGAAAACGAAGGAGAAATAGTAGGAAAGAAAAGATGAAGAAGTAAGCTAAAGTTTCTACAAATGGAATGGAAACTTCTGAAACAGAAATAAGGAACAAATGATAAAAACAAGAGTATAAATTAAGTTATAACTTAAAAATTAACTTATGAGCAAAAATCTTTTTGTCATATATCAGCAAGCAGCTTATAAATCTCTCTTTTGTCAAACATAGCCTAAACTAATTCATACTTTTATACTTTGAGAGAGAGAGAGAGAGTGAGTGGTCCTAGAACGAAACAGAAACATGATGGACCACAACCGGCACATTTACATTAATGGAGAGCAAAAAACTTCACTTTTTAAAAGGGGCTAAAATGGATATTACTGCAGGATAGTATAGGGGAGTACAAACAATTACCCAACAACTCAAACTTATCGCCTACTGCATCACGGATTAGTTAACTGGACATTAACGGGGTGGTCCAGGGACACAACTGACAAATTACCATTTATGGTGGCCAGACGAATTTCATATTTCATAGCTATGGGGGAGATTTAAAACAAATTCAACTATACTCTGGGGGACGAAAACATCTTCACCCTTTATTTATTTTTATATAGTGAGTGAATAAGCAATGGAGCCAAAAACTCACTAGTTTTTGGCTTGGGAATATGATGGAATAAAGCAAAACGGCTCACTAAACTGTTTTCGCTTCTTTGTTATGAAGTAGCACTCAGTCTACGCAATTTTTGACGCATTTTTTCACTTTGGGTCATTCGGAAACAGTATCTTTGTGCTTTAGTAATTAGTACAAGGGTACGACTGCGTACATCCGACCCCCCTACCCCACCAAAGGTGGGAGCCTTTGCGGCACTGAGGTAATGATGATGATGATGAGTGAGTGAATAAGGAGGAAAACTGATGGAAATTCTAGAATCAAGACATAAGGTGAAGCTATATCTTTTGATTAATACTATTTGCCTATTTGCACGTTTAAAAAGTTATACAATTCTAATAAATCTTTTGTTTAATACTATTTTCCTATTAACCCATGCTTTCATACTTGAAGTATTGATAACTAGAATGTCTCAATTAGCAAAAAATCATAACTTTGTAAGAAAATGGATGGAGAATACCTTCCATCATCACGAATGGATCCCTGATGCCAGAGCGGACTCACTTGAAACCCCTCCAAAACACGGCAATTGAACTCCTGTATATTGCTCTAATTTAAAATTCCACAACCTTCTCAAGGCATATACTTTATCCTAGAAAATACATTATAATCACACACCTGTTTAACACATTACTGAAACAATCATTAGCTTCCACGGAGCGAAGGATGAAATCCTCTAAATACAACTCAATCTTTCAAACTGAATACTCATAACATATTATGCAGTACCAAATTATAGTACTATTAACCTAATTAACACTTGTTTTGGAAATATAAGTATAAACTAATGGATTCTGCTTCACTTATGTTTCTTCAAAACAGAATACGATAAATAACAAAACTTAACATGGTTCAGAGTCAATTATTCTTTACCAATCAACATCAGGTTGATAAATGAATGAATTCATCATCATCATTACCCCAGTGCCGCAAAGGCTCCCACCTATGGTGGGGTAATGGGGGATCGGATGTACGCAGTCTTACACCTGTACTAAAGCACAGAGAGACTGTTTCCGGATGACCCATAGTGAAAATTGCGTCGAAAATTGCATGGACCGACTGTTGCTTCATAACAAAGAGGCGCAGACAGTTTAATGAATGAACTAAGTAAATAGAAATCACCTGAGGAGAAACCTCCTTATTTGGGGGCTTAGAAGCTGCTTGGGCAACAAAAGTGTTTCCAAGAACCAATTCATGCCTATCTGTTCACAAGAATACCAACTCTAATAATACAGTGGACAGTTTTTTTAATCTTCAAAAATTGATAAAGATCCTAAATGATTAATAACAAGAAACAAAACAAATGAATATATCAGTTATCTAGAAAGATAAATTTTACTGGATCAAGTGGAGTTTGGAACTTCAAAAACGCCAGGGAAAGAGAACAAATAATTGGGAGAAAAAGTATTCCAGGAATTGGGAAGAGAAGCTAAGAACAAATCTTCAAACTCACAAAGCTTATTCTTGGTATGTGTTCAAATCTATGCTGTCAAAACCGGACTGCAAAGCGACCCGGACAAGTGTCCGGGTCAAGGGTTAGCCCAGACCTGGAGGGGAGGAGGGTTTGCCTAATCAACAGCTCTAACTAGTTAATATTTGCTAAAAAGGTAAAATAAAACATATGTATAATTATATATCAGATTAAAGTCGTTAGGGGAAAATATTTTCATTTATAATTTAATAATGATAATATGTAAAACCGAGTGATGCACCTCTTAGATGAGTTAAGAGGTGGGGAGGAGAGGCGGGATAGAGACGAAGAGGAAGACCCAAATGGATGCGTATTAGAGGAATCAGAATGGATATGTTTTTCTTGGGTTAGATGAGAGTATGGCTTTGGAGAGAGCAAAGTGAAGGGCGCATATTCGTGTAGAGAACTTCTCTTTTCTCACTCTTTTTGAGTTTTCTTTTATCTTTTATCTTCTTGATCTATGTTCTTATGCTATTATGAAGCACGGAAACTCTTAGGAAAGCTTACATTTCCATTTCAAAAACTCAACGGGAACTCTTCGGAAACTCTCTAAAGAGTTGTTTTTGAGTAAAATATGGCGTTTTCCGTTTCCCGTTTCCGCATTATTTTCACGTTTCCGTGCAACATAGTTCTTATGTTATTTTTATCTTGGGAAAACTGTCAAATAGGTCCATGTACTTTTGCGGAAAGTCAATTGAGTCCTACTACTTTTAAGCGAAGCAATTAGGTCCATTAAGTGTTAAAAATTGATCAAATTAGCTATTTTATAGGTAATGATCCGGTTCTCGGTTGACATGTGATGTGGATGTCCAGTAATGTCCATCTAGATTTTCTTCTCTTTTTTTCTTCCTTCTTTTTCATTTTCTCTTTCTTTCTCTGTCAGTCCGTTCTTTCTTCTGCGGCATGACCCCATCCGTATTTCCTTCCTTTTCTTTCTTCTCCGGCAATATTTCTAACATCCATCACCGGCCGGTCGGCCTCCATCTCTGATTCCTCCACCAGAGCGATCTGCACCGCCACCACCTCCATATTCACCACCTCTGCCACTCCTATCTCCATACCCGCCACCTCTGCCGGCCCCTAGCTCCATACCCACCACCTTTGCTTTCTGGCCACCGTTACTCCATGTCCAGCACCTCTTAAACATACCAATTCCTCCGCGGCGGCGTCCCTACCTCCATACCCACCACCTCCGCTGCCCCTACCTCTGTGCTTACCCATCACCTCTGATCCGCTGCTCCTACCTTTGTATACCTTCCATAGCCACAACCTCCCAGGCAGCCTCATCCCCGTCTATGTTCGGTGATCGAGAGGTGAAAGAAATAAAGAAAGAAACAAGAAAGGAAAACAAAAGAAAGGGAAATGAAGAAATTGGGGATCGGAAGAAGAACGGGGGACTGGGTCTGTGGGAGAGGAGAAAAAGACAAAAGTAAAAAGAAAGAAGGAGAAACTAGAAAGGAAAAAGAAAAACTAAAAGAAACGAAAAAGAATAAAAAAATAATGCAACAGTAAAACAAAATAAAACCCAGTTGGACGTCCATGTCACCCGTCAACCAGCAAAACCGGATCATCACCGGGAGAATAGCTGAATTGATCAATTTTTAACACTTCGTGGACCTAATTGCTTCGCTAAAAAGTAGTAGGACTCAATTGACTTTTCCACAAAAGTACATGGACCTATTTGACAGTTTTCCCTTTTATTTTTTATCTTTGTTATGTTCTTTTTATTTTTATATTTATCTCTATTTTATCCTTTTTATCTTACTTTATTTTTTTATTTTTCCTATCTTTCTTTTCTTGGCTCTGATATCATGGATTGATTCATATTAGCCGACTCCAAAATCTTTTGGGAATAATGCTTGGATGTTGTTGTTGTAATTCATAATAAGCATTGAATATAATTATTTTTCTAACATATACAATTTTAACAAAATTTAAAATGGTTTTAAAAATTAGATAGCCATTACATATATAAGTAATGTAACGTTTAGTAATTTTTTTTAGAGAATTGTATAAGTGTTTTTACTTATACTTGGAATGTGGTATACATAATAGGATAGTATGAAAGTAGTAATAATAGGTATTATTATTATCATTATTATTAATTAATGATTAACAATAAAAGTTTAACCTTAAAGATGTTACGGAGAACAAACAAGCCTTAGGGTTAGAGGTGAAATAGCACTAGCGCTCACTCAGGATAGGCGAGGGTCCATACCTCCCCTTTAATGACCTTTAAAAGATGTATTGGGCAAGTTAGCGACTTAGCAGGTTAGCAGCAGATTATGAGCCGGTTTTGGACCAGGTAAAACGTGGGTCTATGGTTTTGGGCGGGTTTTGACAGTTCAACAGGTTAGTTGTAACCGGCCCGTTATTCCATGTGTGTCACCGGAATCTGGGTTGACCCGCGTAGGATGGAACGGGCTTGATAACACAGGTTCAAACTTACGTTATTTATTTCTACAACGCATTATATAAAGACAAAGAAAGGAAAAATTAAAAACCAATGAACATGTTTCTTTTTCCTTTATATTTTCTGTGGTAGAGCCAAACAAAAGAAGATAACTTTGCCGAGCGTATTTTTTCCCTTTCCCTACCGTTTTCTATCCCCAAATATATACATAGTAACTCAGGAGAGGATCAACTAGAATTAAAAAAACATACCAGCCCAAAAGTTTGTAGAGCCTGGAGTATACTGGCAAATATACTTGTCATCGGCCCCAAGAATTTGGGCCCCAATTCCTGTAAAACGATGCCCATATTGTAGCTCCTCAAGTACACTCAATGGCTTGGTGAATGCAGGGTTTTCAAGAGAGTACATAAAGCAGAAACTCTGCCTACATTCTGGAATGGCAACTTTAAAAAACCATCCCTCGAAAAATTGTCTACGGGTCCCATCAAAATGGTATCTGATACAACCACCATATATCAAACACGATGAGTGAAAGAAAATCCAAGCTTATGAAACAACAATATGCACATGGCTACATGCAATCATTTGCATGTGTGTCAATAGTATATACTCCCTTTGTCCCTTAACACTTTGCCAACTTTCCTTTTTTAGTTGTCCCATTAACTTTGCCACTTTCTCACTTTTAAGTAAAGAATGTGTGGTTCCAGTTAAATTCTCTCTGCTCTTCACATACCTCAACCACATAGTTTTTACTTTATTACTTCCTGTGCCGGTCAAACTTGGCAAAGTTTTAAGGGACTGAGGGAGTACTTTCTTATGTTCTCTTGTAGATATCTTTTTAGGTGTAGATATGCTTTCTAGGAGTCAATTATTCTTTTAGAATAAAGGTAAAGATATTACTCGCTACGGACCTTATCATAATGCACAATTAACCAAACTACAGAAACAAGGAAAGTATAAGAATTCATGAGTTCCTGAAAAGTATTATGGTATTCCAATTTTACTCTCTTTTTTATGTCTCATAAATGAATACTTTCTATAAATAAGCGTGAACACTGTATTATAAACACTGCAAAAACAATGTCATGTAAAAAAGACCATTGTCCCACTTTAAAAGCTGTCTTGTGATAACGACCTAAGCCAGTAAAAAGGTACATAGTACTATGTACTCCCTCATCCCGCAAAACTTGGCCATATTGACTTTTGACTTTTCTTTGTCAATGATGATCAAGTTTAACTTACTATATTTTTAATAGGAAATTATCTAAAATATGAAAATTATATGAAAATGCTCTTTGTTAAAAATAGATGAGCTACCAATCCAGGAACTGAAAGATGAAATGTAGGACCTAACTTGTCATGAATGTTACGCAATACTATTTTTTTATTTTAAAAATTTAAAATATTAAGTAATTTTATTAAACTAATAAAAATTTGGGAAGAAAAACTCATCAAAAATTAGCAGTGGAATTAACAAAAAAATAAATAAATAAAAACGTATGGAATTTTAGGTCCTAAATTGATAGTATTCAATCATCCGGGCCCAATATCGACATATTTCATCTCCGGATCCCGGATTGATAATTCATCTGTCTTTCAGGTCCTGAATTGATAAAATTCCAATACTTTCATAAAATTAAAAAATTTAAGGATTTTATTAATCCATTGGACCTGAAAAATGGATGAGTTGTCAATCTGGGACCTAAAAGATGAAATGTGTCGTTAAAGGGCCTGAATGAGTGAAAACTATCAATCTAGGACATAAGTTATCATGAATTGTATTATTTTTTTGTGAAGAAGAATTTATCAAATATCAGTCATGCAACTAATAAAAAACTAAACAAATAAAATTCATGGAATTTTAGGTCCTAGGTCGATAGTTTTCAATCTTTTGAGCCTGAAAAATTTCACACAAACATAATAACTAAAACCAAGAAAAGTCAATTTGGCCTTGTTTTGTAGGAGGGAGTAGTATTTATGGATGAAGAAGAGCAATAGTGAAGATCGCTAAATCCAGAATGATAGTCATCACTTGTCATTCTCACGAACAAATTGACATGAACCAAAATAGATCAGATTCATTTTCTTCCTGATACACTTCTAGAAGTACAAGCAAGAGCAACTTGAAGACACCTCAGTGTGCTCCACTTTTTTTTCAAAGTTGGCCATTTTTAGTCCCTGCAAAGTTCTTAACAATAGATGTTATAACTCAAAACCACAACGAAGTATGTATCTCAGTATCTGGAGTATTGTTAACCTTGATGAAAAATCAAGAGGATTGCGGAAAACTTGCCCGAAATCAATTCAATTTTTACATTATCCGACAAAATGCTCAAAAAAACAATGCCCGACTATAAAATAAACATGGACCAGAGTAAATTACCCACTGTGAGGAGTTCGAAGAGGGCGATTAGGAGGGGTGGGGGAGTAGACAGGTTTAACAGCCTCGTTAAGGTCCAGCACAGAACTTTGGACGGCTGAATCAGGCGCAGACAATGTTTTCGCTCCGAATGCATGCTGCTTCCTACCGACGAGCAGGTTTAGGGGAAAGAATCTCGTGGAGTGAGATTCTGTTGTTGGAGGAATTGCAAAACACGCCAAGAGGGTTTCCATTGGTATTGCGGGAACTTGTGAATGTGTGTGGGTTCGAGGCGGGACTAAAGCACCTAGAAGCAACGGGGTCTGCGGTGTAAAATGAGCATCTTAAATGCCTAACAGAAGATGTCAGAGAGAGAAGCGAGGTGGCGCCATCCTAGGGTGACCTCTACAAATATAAATTATTCCTTCCGTCCCCGTCATTTTTTCAGTTTTGACTGGTATCGCAAATTTATGCAAAAAGTTAAAGGGGTTGACTTTCCATTTATATCCTTGACCGAATGGGGTAAATAAAAGGGTAAAAGTTGAGGTAAAAACTTTAATAAAGTGAAAAAATGATTAAAAGTAGATTGATTGACATGTGAATAGTAACCACTATTCAAATTTGGCTAAGTTATGCATACATTAGACGTCAATCCAAAAAAGGAGAGAGATTACTTTTTGGTTCCTTACATATACTACTCCCTCCTAATTCCTTACATACACACACGCACACTTCCATCACACACTCCACACACGCGCACACTTACAGACACTCCACACACACACTGAAAACAAAAAAAGGCAGCTTCCATGGCTAGTTTATCTTCCACAGCTGCAGCTTCTTCTTCATTTTCTTCAGCTTCTTGCACACCAGGACCCCTAGACCTGCAAATAGTAACAAGCCATGGTCATGGTGATGCAGTGGGGAGGAAAAAAGCTTTCAAACATTTAAAAAGACACCATAACACATGTACTCTTAATGTCCATGATAAGTGCGTATTTAGACATGCATTGATGCGTGTTGGGATCGACTTGTGATTGTTTTCCTAGCTTTAAGGTGTTACAAGTCTCAATTTTAGCTCAAGTTATGTTATCAGGCGTTGATTTGAGTTTTATGTCTTTTGGAGTCAAATTCAGAGAATTTGAGCCCAGCACCGGCCCTTGAGAAGCAATCGGGACGATTTGAGAAGCATTCGAGAGTGAATTGAGAGATTGGGAGGTCACCGGGATGTTCACGATGAAGATTTGATGACAAAAGAGCTCTAGGATTGGCTACATGATCAAAAGAAGACAAATAGAGCTTAAAACGGTGTTCAGGATGACCTTATGTCAATCATTCAAGCATATATCTTTGTAGAAGAATCCAAAGGACACGATTCAAGTTTCATCTGAAAGAAAACTGAAAGGGCTACAAATCATATTAAGACACAAATGAGAGAATCTGAGAGGAAGAAGGTGAAAACAGATGATGAGGTCAGATGATCCCTGTTGCGATTTCAGAATGAGACCTTCCATGATTTTATTCATATCTCTTGATTGGATTATTCGAATCCAATTAGTCAAGTCGTGGTGGATAGAGGACTTCATTATCTACAACTTTAATGAAGGAAGCAAAGTCAAATTCGGAAGTTTGACGCACGCCGTGCATAGGGGAACGCACGATCGTGCATCCGAGGCGAGAAACCGGAAAACCCACTGGCAGCCACGCACGGCCGTGCGTGGGGGACGCACGCGTGCGTGGCACATTTTGATGCGCGTAGCTATTCCGGACGCACGGACGCCACGCATGCCGTGCGTGGTGCCGTGCGTGCCCTGGAGTCCTAATTTCACCCGAATTGCTCCGTTTTTCCTATTTAAACAGCCTGTAAACCCATGTTTTGATGGGGAACTTAGAGAGAAGGCCTAACACAAAATTTTGAGAACTTTCAAGCCTTGTTCTTCAATTCTTTGGGTTTATTTATAAGTTCCTACTTTTTAATTAATGACAATTATTTCTATTCTTCCCAATTCTATTGATTATTCAATTATAAGTTGTGAGTAGTTTTAATTAGGGATTTGGGATTGATGAAGGGGTTATTCCTGATATATGGCTAGGATCTTGATGGTTTAAATTGCATGAATTTTTATTTAATTTGTGTATGAATGATTTAATCGATATCTCTTGTAACCTAGAACTGCGACTAGAATTACAATAATTGTTGGTAGAATAAATTAAGAGAGATCTAATTTATTTTAGAACACATTCACCCACACTTAATCGTTCGCTAAGAGATTAGTAGTGATTAAGGGGCCGTAAGCTCGCTCGTCTTGGTAATAATTTAGGATCATGTCGCATGAGAGATCAGCCCGATCCCCTAAATTATTGTACTCTACGCCGCGAGAGCGGTAAGAACTTAGTAATGATTAGCTAGGCTCAATTAAATTAATTTTGATGTAATTAAACCTGATCTGCTAGAAATCTGATTACCCCGGAATCAATCCTTGTTTCCTATCGTCATTAATTAGAAAGAACCCATTAGTTTAATTTCTTTTTTCGCAATTTAATTTTCCTAATCAAATCTCGCACGACACATTTATTTTATTTATTTTTAATCGTTGAATTTATTTAATTCTTAATTCCCTTTTGTCCGTCCCTGTGGAGACGATACTCGTACTTACACCACTATTTTACAATCTATTTTAAGTGCGAGAAAACTAACATCAGTCCAGTAGGAGAGGTTCTTTGGAGTACTTGAAAGCTCAGAAAGGTATTTTTGTCATACTTGGTGAACACTATGAAGTGTCCAAAAGAACTATTTCTGGTATTTGGGAGACAGTTAAAAAGCAAGTTGTACAAGGTGATGCAGTAAATGTGTGTAGGAAGTACTATGGCAGAAAAAGGATAGAATTAGGTCTATCTCAGGTATCACAGATCCCACTGCATAAAAGGACTGACATAAGGTCCTTAGCAGCTGCCACCTCAATATCAAAGTCAAGTGTCCACATATTGGTTCAAAGTGCTAAGCTCAGAAGGCATACAAATGCAATAAAGCCATTTCTAAGTGATGCAAATAAATTGCACAAATTAAAGTTCTGTCTTAGTCAGATAGAGAAATCAATGCCACAGAAGCCTACTTTTCAAACATTTCAGAATGTGATACACATTGATGAAAAATGGTTTTTCATGACAAAAACATCTCAAAGATTATACATGGGGTTGGAAGAGACTGATCCACACAGAGTATGCAAATCAAAGAGGTTCATAACTAAAGTAATGTCCCTCGGTGCAGTGGGTATGGTTTAGGGTTTAGGGTTTAGGGTTTAGGGTTTAGGGTTTAGAGACTGTGAAGGTTTTAATGCAAGAGGTGCTATGTCTCATCAAGGTCATGCTTCTCACGCTGATGCTAACCTTGCACATTCTGTTTCACTTTCAGTGAAGGTCCTGTTTCTCACCCCGTTTTGTTAATGAACACATTCTGTTTCACTTTTATTCATGAAACACCAATAGAGTTCATTGAAAATTGGATTATTGGCGCTTAGTTAGAAAATATTTGAAACAAGTGTGGTTCTTTAGCAGGTCAAAATCATGTTGTACTTACACTGACATAGAAGGAAATATAAAGTGAAGTTTACATTGCCTTCAAGCACTCTATTACTTATGTGATGAAAATGTTGGATTCTTTATAAGGTAAAGTGACTCTCAATTTACGAGAAATAGCTTGATCAATTCATAAATTGTAATAACTTGCATCATTCTGAGATGGTTGCGGTTTTAATTTCAGAGGTATGTTGGTCTAGCCTATTTTCTTGATGAATCTGACATTACAATTAACTGCAATATAATCAATGTGATTCTTTCATCTGACATTACAATTAACTCATATTAATTGATAAATCCTAACTATCTAAGGTCTAAAGCTGTATGAAAAAGTTCAATTCATTTGATTTATAATGAAGGTCGAATAGGTGTATAAAAAAGTTCAATTCGTTTGATTTTCATTGGCATTATCTCTTTTTTGTATTAGATCTTTTCGAGTTCCACCTGAGGGTCCTCATTGTCTGATGCGCTTCTGAGTTGAACCTTTGCTTATCCTTGGAAATAATCTTTAATGACCAAGGTTAAGCCCAGCTCTTGTCCTATGAAGAGACTCTTTCTAGATTTCTTTTAATTTGTTGTTAGCCTTCTTGGTAAAGAATATAGTGGTTACATATATGAAACAATATAAAGCATGTGTGCTAATTATCTGTGTTTCTTGTTTTGCAGGGGAGAGATTTACTTGAAGACGAGGATTTAATAGAACCAAATGATGCACACATGCTTTCTTGGCAGTTTGATTATTGTTTAAATGTTATACCTAGACATTGCTTTGTATTTTTCTCGCTACAGTTTTTGTATGTTAAGCTCATGTCTTTAGACTTGATAGATTGATATGTAAAATGTATTTTACATTTGATGAATGAAATATTTGTTGAGTTTTTTTTATATATTTTCTAATGTGTGTGCAAATCAATAAGGTTGTGCACATATGGATATGTGAGTGTATATATCTATATATATAGTAAGTGTTACATTTGATAATTGATCAGGACATGCGTATTATCAAAAACCGTTACATTTGTATAAGTTTAAAATTGTTACATTTGCGCTCAATCTATTGTAACATTTGTGGCATGTTAAGAAGACTGTTACAGTTGGTCGTAAGTTCCGTTACAAGGCGTTACATTAGAGAAAATGCAACGCCAACGAATGTAACGACGAGAAAATATTACAATAAGTCTAACGTAACAGTTTTTTGGACCAAAGGTAATGAATCCTGCTGTTACAAAAGACTCGAAAATGTAGTAGTGGTACTGGGTAGGCCCCTTTTTCAGAAAGTGGTGAGGTTATTTGGGATGGAAAAATAGGCATGTTTCCATTTGTTGAACAGGTTGCGGCAAAAAGAAGAAGCAAAAACAGAAATGCAGGTGTTATGGAAACCAAACCTATTCTTAGCATAACAAAGAAAGTGTTCAAGGACATGTTATGATGTTAATCAACACAGTCCTCCCAACAATCAAGGAAAAATGGCCTCCACAGTTAAGCAAAGAAATCATAATACAACAAGACAATGCAAGGCCATACATTTCACATGATGATGCAGAGTATATGAGTGCTCCCATGGTTGATGGGTTTACTATCACCCTTACTATCCAGCCCCCCAATTCTCCAGACCTTAACATCCTAGACCTAGGGTTTTTTGGGGCAATAGAATCTTTGAAAGACCAGAATGCACTCAAGACAGTGGATGAACTGTTACATGCAGTGGATGATGCTTTCAAACAACTATCACCTAGGGGTGGGCATGGTTGGTTAACCGGATTTTGGTTAACCGAGATATCGGTTACTAAATTTTCAATACCGCTATCCG